ATAATGGACATAAATTCAATGCCTACGTGACCCGATTAGCCATGCCCGGTACTACCCTTTCCGCGAAAAACGTGGCAGACCACACCGACACGCTGCTCTATGCATCTGTTGAGCTTGTGTATCAATTTAAGTAGTTAAACTGAAGGGTATTATCCAAATATGCACTGTTTGAAATTAACTCAGCCGTCTCGTGGGACAAGGTGGCGACGACAGTCACATCCGGAGAAGCTTCTGAGAAGAGATGCAGAAATTATAAAACTTCGCAGCTTGAACAACCACTTCAAGTCGCCTAAACAGCGAAATACTCTGAAGAAGATCCAAGAGGCGCTGCCGTTCCCCGATCTTGAGTCATTAGTCCTCCATCTTAGAATCAGACCACTACGTTGGATATCAGGTGGGAGCCGATAGCAGTACTGGATTAATTTCTAAAGTTGATCTTATGGGAGTGATCTCAAGGTCCAATTCTAAGAGCAGTAACTGTTCATTTCTCTGTGCAAACTTAGCATACACAGCTTCGTCGTGCGGACACAGCTCTTGTCTATATGCACAGCTTCTCAAGTACACACCACTTTATGAGAAATTAACCACATACTGAAGAAGTCTCACGCATCGCGCCAACTCGTCTCATCGATCTGCCTCTATCTCATCGTCTACTGCCCCCAGTGGCTGCTGCTGTGGGGAAGACTTCCGATGATGAAACCATGCCGGATAACGATCCTCTCGGTGAACAGTTTCCTGGGTCTTGGGCAGATAAGGGGTATCAGGGCCTAGCCGAGACCGTGAGGGTCATCATCCCGACGCGTCGCCGCCCGTCAACACCACTAATACCACAACAAGAAGCCGAGAATAGCGACATCTCTTCCGATCGTGTGATAGTGGAGAATTACTTTGGCCGATTGTGCACTATTTGGGCATTATGCTCCGACAAGTTCAGATGGCAAGAGCAAAACTACGAGATGTACTTCCGAGCTTGCGTCGCTCTGACTAACATGCACATGCGAGCCCACCCTTTGCGTGCAGATGACCGCACGAACTACACCGACTATTTGAGGCGAATGTATGCAATCGGAAGGGAGAGGCATCAATCTAGAATCGCATCAAATACGCGAGCAAGAAAAAGAAGGTGCCGCCGCATAACTGTGTCACGTATGGCTGCTGGGGCTTCTTCTGGAGGCGAAGCTTAAAAAAACAGTCAAGACTACTGAACCAAGTAGTTTCGTAGCCAACCTGACACGGACGTACCGTGATAATAATTAAGTAAGAGTTGTTTTCGTTGGTAGCATTCTAAAAATTAAACACTGGTGCTCACACGGAAGTGTATAGGCTCTTGTAGTGGTCATCTAACAATTGATTGAAAAAGCAGCTCAAAATGACAGAGCCGGCTGTTTAATCACATAGCCCTCATATGGTTGGTATCCTAGATTCGGTTATCGAGGACTATTGACCGGCAAAGACGTAAATGTCGTGTATACGCGACAAGGGATACGATGAACAGCTGATAGTTACATGCGAGGCGTACTTTCAGTTCACCAGTGTGGTGTAGTAGAACACACAAATACCGTCAGATGTGGATTCCTTACACAAACCACAACGCATCGCCGAGTTAGTCAGCCGGTTGTATGGCCTGCGCAGAGGGTGGTCCCCTCGCGGTTTG